TATAGATTCTATATAACAATATATAATCAATAATAATTGTATATACGTACATATGTATGTGAATTATTACAAAATAAAATTTTTCAGTCCACTTTTATTCTAAAAACAAAATAATAAAAAAAATAACAAAATCACAAACTATACATTACATTCACATACACAAACCTCTTTTTTTTTTTGTTTGCTTATTTACCATGCATGTACGTGTATATGGTTTATCTGTTATACATTAAGAAATATATAAGAATTGACATTTAAAAATACGAAAAAAAAAATAAAAAACAAAATTTAATTTTTTATTTTTTTTTTTTTGTATTTTTTTTTTAAACAACAATTATATAAATTTAAATGTTACGTGTTATATTAGTATATACAAGTATGTACCCAAATTATGTACGTACATATGCATATAACATACATGTATAACATAAATTAAAACTAAAAACTTAAAAAAAATAAAACAATATTTTGCTTTCTTTCTCTTTATTTTTTTATGTTTTGAAAATACTACATTCCAAAATTGTTTTCGTCCTTTTATATCCTTTTATTTTTTATCCCTTTCCATTTCTGTCTTATTACATTACGATGAATTTACTTTTGATAGTCTTTTCTATTTTTATTTTTCTTCTCTTTCTTCTTATATTTCAAAATTTTTTTTTGTGTGTTTAGTAGTATGACACTTATTATATACGAGTATACGAGTTTGTCTTTATACTAGTATATAACTAAAAATATTGATTTGTCATGTGAAAAAAAAGGAAAACATGAAAATTTAAAGCTTTTTTGTTTTTCCTTTTTGAGTTTATTTTTATTCTTATTTCATTTAAAATTCAAATCCCATAAAATCCACACCAACACTAATGAAAGAAAGAAATATTTTTTAAAGAGAAATAAGAACAAAATTAGTATATAGTATATACATTAAATTAATGTATATAATATACTATTTTGTATATATTGTGTGTAGTATATAGGAAAAAACTTTATTATAGCCAAAATAAGATACTAGAATTTTAATATACAAAAACGGTATCAACAAAATAATGGCAAAACAATAATAAGAAAATAATATTTGAGTGTTTGCAAGTCATTGCGCATCACTAAAAACTTATCCAAATTTTATACACTACCATTGCTACTATATTTATGCGATACCTACCACCTACACCTTTATCCATATTATTATTTATTTTTCATTTTCCGATTTTATTACACTATACAATACGTAATAGACTTAAAATAAGAAAAAAAAAGTATTAATCTCTGCCAATTTTAAGGTATTTCGCGTTCAAAATTCAAAATAAATCTTAAAAACTTTAATACCTGAAATACTGAAATTTCCAGTGCAAGAAATAACTGTCAAGAGAATGTCAAAATCTAATTTATTAAAAAACCAAATCAAAATTTGTGCTCTAAGGATTAAAATTGAAAATTAGTTTTTCAATATTAATTGTTTTGCTTAAAATAATATAAAAAAAAACATAAGCAATCTTTGACTTTCATGTGTAAGAATATAAAATTTTTTCTTTGAAATTTGGTTATAATTTATAAAAATAATTCTCATTTCATTCTAAATAATATTAGAATAAAACTAATTAAATTTTTGGCAACAATAAGCTGCATATTATGAATTTATAAATCTCATTTATTTGACGATGAAATATTAGATTAATAAAATGATGCCCCTATAAGGAATTTAACTATTTATATTGGTTTACAATTAAAATAGAAGGAGGACAAAAGCAAAAAATAAAACCAAATATGTAATTATAAGAAAAGGGAAATTTTCCACAAATGGAAAGCGTTATCATTTGCAAATTCAGCATTCTCATTCAGATTTGGCGACAATTAAATAAATATTCAAAAATGTACTACATCGTCGGACATATTATGTACATATTTGAAAAATCAATTGCAGAAGATTAATGACATTCCATATTAAAATTTTTTAAGGAAGTAGTTAATAAGACAATTTTTGAGAAAACAAGCCCAAAATACTATCAACATATACGAGTATTTCATGAATTTTCCTTGGCAGGAAGCATATATTCTCGCAAACCTTAATTGGTGTGGAAATGGAATTTTGTAAATCATATAAATGGTAATTGTTAAATTCTATATTGATATAATGTATCGTGGTATATATGAATATTCGTGAATGTGTAATAATTTTATGGAAATCTAAAATTTGTTCTACTTTTTTTATTTTCAAAAATAATATCGAATTTGATTCGACAAATTTTTTGCCACATTTCCAAAAAATTTTTGGAGAAAATGTGACTGTTGTATTTTTGTACATGGTTCAAGATGAAATTTTGCAAGCCAATCCTGGAGAATGCATTTCTGAACCCAATTTTTTGGTATCTTTCAACATCACCAAGTTACAGTACTTCAAAACCCTTCATATGCAATTTTTTTGACAAACCGAAGGAAAAGTCAGATTGTCTTTTGTTATTCAAACCGGGTTTTTCGTTTTAAGAATTTCTAAATATCGATTAATATTATATTTGGCTATAGCTAAATTTCTCTGTTACTTTCAAAATATAGAAAATGTAAATTTTCGGTTTCTTATTTCTTTGATTTTGTCAACTCTTTTGTCAAATCGAACTTATTATCTAAATGTAAACTTATATGCCTTAAATACATCTGATGCGACAATATATAACCGAGCGGAAATTATATTTTCAGTTTTGGAAGATGATTATAATAGAAAGATGATCACCTTATGCTACCCGAATTCCTTGAAAGCTACTTCAAGTTTATTCGCCAGTTAGAACGCAAATATTAAATTTTCGAAAAAATCCGTGGATTAATCTCTATTTAACTGGGCCCGTATTGTGAGTCCAATTGCTGGCACCTGATTTCTTTGGATATTCAATATTTCCTTTAAAATAATTAAAAATGTAAAATTTTGCCGTAAATGTCCAGTTTGGAAGACTTCCTAGATCAGGCATGGGGAACCTGCGGCCTTAAGGCCGCATGCGGCCATTCAACTGTTTTTTAGTGGCCTTTGTCCTTAAAAAAATTTATTTCTTATATTTCTTAAAAATTAAAATTTTGCTGCCACATTTTCGAAAACAAATCAAACATTTAGAAAAATAAACCGTGCACATAAACTTTCAAATTTGAAAACTAAAAATTGGAAAATTCAAAGCCATGAAATTTCTAACAACGTTTGAATTCAAAATTTACATACATATTTGTTTGAAAACAAACCCATATTAATATTTGAATCCTATTAATATTATGAAATAAACTGTTTTATGTTATTTTTTATATTCTGACATAATTTTGTTTTCATCAACCTACACAAAGCAAAAATTTATAACCTTTGGACTTTTTTTAAACTTTGCGGCCTGATTGACTTTGCATTGACTAAAATTTGGCCTTATATAGAGAAAAGGTTCCCCATCCCTGTCCTAGATGTAGCCAAAGTAAATTCAGATATAAATTTCTATTCAAATTTTTTTATCCGAAATTGAAATACAAGAGTACACATACAGACCGTCAGACTATTAAAAATAATTTATTTACTCTTCTCTACTATGAAGAAATGCATTTCCACTGAAAATTTGTCATGCGTCACTCGCTCAGAATAATGTATGTCCTTAAGCAATATATGCACTTAGATTTGAAAATTTGAATACATATTATATATTTCATTATAATTTTGAATATTAATATTTAATGTATAATATACGTTATTGTTATATATTGTAAATGAAAACCCAAAATATTGTTATCCTTTTATTATTTTCAATATAACGCACATATCATTTGAATTCTTAAAAATAATAAAAAAAAATATAGAGTAAGCATTTATTTTTAAAAACCATATTTATATATGTATATATATATATATATACATGCATGTTATAAATTATTCTATATATTCATACACATATATAATGCATTTATTTATATTCATACATAATATTTTATTTAAACATTCACATATATATTCATGTAATATTTAAAAATTTACTATTTTATATGTGTTACGAGGTTTTCAAATAATGATGAAATTTGTTTTGAAAATATTTCTATATATATAAACACAAACATTCATATTATTTATATATTCTTAAAGACGAACATACATACATATATACACAATACTATACAGTTTATTTAAATAAAATTAGAATGGGTGATGAAAAAGAGAGGGTGTCGTTAAAATATAATTATTATAAGAACGTATTATGTATAACAAAATTACAATCATTCTATATATTTATATTGTACATATATACATATATACTCATAGTTTAAATACGAAGTAAAATGAAAAATTTCCGTGAGGGTGGAATGAAAAAATTTGTATAAATATGTGTTAAAATATAAACTTACGAATAGTAAAGAGAAGAGGGCAAACATTATTTGTATTATTAGAATAATTTGTATATTATGTATGTATATACTAGTATTCATATATACCTTTAAAGAATAATGGAAATACAATAATAATATTAAAAACAAAAATAACAAAACAAATTATAGAGACGCAAGAGAGAATTTATGAAATATGTATTGTATATGTATGTACAAAAATTTGTATTATATATACATATATAGTATATATTCTTGTACATACAATATATAATCATATTTGTATATAAGTTTTTTTGGCATTCAAAATTTATACATACTCTAATTTTGTTGTTGTGTTTTTTTTGTTTCCTTCATTAGTATTGTTGTATTCCTTCTCTTTTTTATAGAAATTTTTCTTTTTCTCTTTTTCTTATGCTTCTTTTAATTCTTCTTTTTGATTTTATTTCATTGTGCATGTATATGTATAATGTTCTTACGTCATCAAAACCTGAAACAAGACTGAAAAATTATTTCCCAGTCGTTCGTTGTCAGTCAGTTCAATTCGATTATACAAACAACAAAATACGAGTTGTTTGTTAAAAAAAAAAATAAATTTTTAGAGCAATTAAAAGAAAAAAATTGTTTTTTTTTTTTTTTTTCTTAATATATCGTACATATATTCTGTGTGTGTAAAAAAAAATTAAAATAAAATATTCGAGAAAAATTAAAATTATTCATTTTTTCATAATTATAATAATTTGAAAACGAAAATAAATATATTAAATATATTTAAATTTAAAAATATAATAATAACAAATTTAAAAGTGAAAATAATTTGTAAATAATTAAAATATAATAAAAATTAAATAAAATAGAAGAAAAAAGAAAAAGAAGAGAAACAAGAAATTCAATACGAATTTAATGCGAATCAAACACCAAAATTGCATATATTTAGGCGAAGCGAAAAAATTTCTTTATTTCCTATTTTCAATATAGTTAAATAAAAAAAAAATAGAAAATTAAATTTAATTTTCAAAAAAAAAAAGAAATTTTAATTTTTATTCTCAATTCTTTTTGAACATATACATGTGCATATATAAAGAAAATAATGTAAATATGTAAATTTATAAAATGCCTAGAAAAAATATATAAATATTTTTTTTTTGTTTTTGCAAAATAAAAATAAAATATAAGAAAATTTTTTTTTTTGTAAAAAAAAAGTTAAAAGCTTTTTATGTGAATTTCGTAGTTGGATTTTATTTTTCTGATTTTCTCTTGTAACGAGCATATTACAAGAACACGGAGAACGGAATACAGCGAACGAGCACAATATACAATAAATGGAAATTAGGGACAAGAAAAAAAATAAAGGAATATAAACGAAAGGATAATTTTTGTACTATTCTGGAAATTTTTTTGTTGTTTTTATTTTTGATATTTAAAAATAGATTTCAAGAAATCAGTAATTAATTACAAAAAAAAATAAAAAAAAAAACAACAAAGTATATAAGTAAAACAAATTTATCTAAAAATATTAAAAATATTATGAGCTATTGAAAATTATATTCGATATACAAATACACACATATGTAAGAAAGAGAGAAAGAGAGAGAGAGATATAAAATAAAAAATTAATTCTAAATAGGAAAAAAAGGATAAAATCAGAATTTTAGTTTCCTTTATATACTTACAAAAATAAAAAAATATAAGAAAAACAGAAATAAAAACAAAAAATAAAGAAAAAAAAAAAAACAAAGTGATTTTTCATATTTTTCTTCTGATTTTTTTTTCTCTTGATATTTTGACATTTAAAAAGTTAATTTATTTATTTTGTTGTTGTTTTTCTTTTCCTTTCTCAACAACAAACGTTTTTTTTGTTTATTTGTGTTGTTTGTGTACGTGATGATATTATGTGAATAAATAATTGTTGTTATTTATTATTATTTTTTCGATAATAAAATACAAAAAAGTGCATTCTCATTCAATTTAACTCAAAATATATAAATACCTATATAAAGATGCATATATACAAATATATTCAAAAATGTACATAAATCTTATATTGTAATTACACACATAAAAAAGAAGTACCTTCATTCTAACGCAGTTATATAAAAAAAAAACGAAATATAAAATTCATAGGTAATTAATTCTACACAAATTTACTAATTAAAAAAATAATATAATTAAAAAATATTAAAAATAGAAAATTCTAATTATACCTTATATTTAAAAAAAAGAACAAAAGAGTGAAATAGAAAAAAAAAACCAAAAATAATTATAAATAAATTATGGAAGTACCACCACCAAAAGTCCATAGACATCATCGACATAGAAGATCAAATAGACGTAATAATGAGCAATCATCATCAACGGAACGCCAATCATCACAAAATCAAAATGATGCATCTTCACAATATCCTGTTAGTCCTTTAGCTAGAGTACATGAACGTAATCAACAATTACAACAACAACAACAACATGGCAATAATTCAAATTCATCAATATCTTTACCATCACATAATATACAAATAGTTGCATCATTTCATCCACAACATAATACAACTACATCAACAGCACCATCATCATCATCAGCAACGCAACAACAACAACAAGAAAATCCAGCTGTATTAGTTAATGGACATGAACCAAATTTAGATGAAATAAATAATGATGATATTGTTATTAATAATCAAGATAATAATTCATCATTAAATAATGGACAACAACCAGGACATGTTATATTAGTTTCTAATGTACAACAACAGAATAATGACAGTGGTGGTGGTATTGTAAGCGGTAATAGTGGTATTACTGGTGGTGGTAATGTAAATAATACAAGTAATAATAGTATTATAAGAAATCAATCAGAAATCTTATCAACGATTAGAAATCAACAAAATCAATTAGATACTAATAATATAAATAATATAAGACGTACAATGCAATTAACACCACATGGTTCACCAAGACCAGGATCATCAGCATCAACTGGTAATATTGAACAGAATCAACAACAGCAACAACAACAGCAACATAATCAGACATCATTACATCATAATGTACATAAAGGTATTATGGGTTTCATGGATCGTGAATTAAAAACAAATACAAATCCAAAAAAAACACAATCACTTTCAGATCCACAAGCAAGTCCAGCACAACGTTCAACCCGAAGTCGTAGTAGTTTAGAGAAAAGTCCGCGACGTAAACGTAGTAAATCAGAATCGCGTAGACGACGTGAACGTAAATTAATTGCTGCCGGTGAAATGGAAGTAAGACAAGCAAATGAAACATTAATGAGATATTTAAAACAAGTATCTGAGATGAATGATGCATCATTATCTGGTGAATTAGAAATTGATCATAATTTCGATGAGAGACGTGTTCATCGAAAAACGAAATCACAACGAGATAAACGGGGACATTTAATTAGTAAAAGTAGTGGTAAGTTCTTAAAATATATTATATATATATTATGTATTATTATTATTAATGTAGATATACATACTTATATATTTTTGTAATTTAGGTCATTATTATTATCTAATAATTTATATATGAATATATACTTTATCATTTCGGTTATAAAGAGTATATAAATTTTGTTTTTGTATTTTATTATAATATGTACTTGACGTACTTGTTATGTAATTTAATTGGAAGAAAAATCATTTTCATATAAATTTAAAATTGATCATATGATTTACAGGAATCATTTATATTATAAGTACATACTTATATAGAATTAAAATTATATTTATTTTTGAAAATTATGGAAAAAAATTTTGGCAATAAAAGCGAATTATAGTCTAATGGAAATATATTTTTCGCCCCTAGATATTTTTTGACCCTTTCTTAATTTTTATTCTAATATTGAGGAAAAACTGAATAGTCCACAAATACTTGCTTTGAATGAATTTAGTCCAAAATATATTTGATTTTTCAAAAATTTATATAATTGGAAAGTAATTGTTGCGTTTTATATTTTAATCGTTTCTGAGAAATCAAATAAAGGTTCTTTAATTTAAATTTTTCAGTTTATTAACCACATTCAGCAAAAATAAGATACCCAAATATAAATTAATTTTGGAAAAACTTAAGCGTTAGCAGAATTATATACAGAATGAAATTTCGGTCTAAACATTAAAATTCTTGTGTTTAAAATTGAATGCAACTGGCTTATATCAAATAAGATTCGAAGTCTCTGAATCTAAGATTAAAATATAGAAAATCGAGATGTGTGATAAAATAAAAAACTACCAAATAGCTGTCGCTTGTAGTCACAGATATATAACTGAATAAACCGGTGATTAAAAATTAAACCGTGTTAAATTGTAAAAACTATGATTTCTTCTACCATAATATTGTCTATAGTTTATATATGGGATAAAAAAATTGGAAACGTAATTGAGACTAAATATGAATTTTGGTGTTTTAACATTACAAAAAACTAAATAAAAGTCAAAATATCTGAAGTTGAGTTAAGACTATTTAGTTTTGCGACCCAAAATTATTTAATTTTATTGAGAATAACAGTTTTATTTGAAAGAGAAAATTTTACTATATTTTAATTTTTTTTTTTTATACAATACAATCTCAATTCAAATGGCCTTAAAAAATTAATTATATTATATAAAAATAAATATGGGCATATCTTATATATTGCCCATATTATATAACATTCTTTATTTTAATTTTAGATTCTATGGCATTCTTACTACAAATTTTAAATGAACCCACTTTAATTTCAATAACCAACATTAAAATTAACAAAGATCACAATGATTGGATGCAACCATATTATAATTGCTCTTAAATTTTGCGCTTACTTTTAACATTTAAAATTTTCAATATTCCTACATAAATAATTTCAAATCAATTTTGAATTCTCCTACAAATAAAAAAAAAATTCTTATTAAATCCAATAAATGTTTCCATTTTAAAATTGCAAAAGAATCAATCAAAACAATATTGAAAGTAAATAAGAAAAAGAGAGGAAGAAATTGAACTCTTAGTTTTGAAAAGTAATTAATCGCCCCCAAGTACTTACTGATATTAAAACATTTTTCAAATTTTTCATAATAGTTGAAAGCTAAGCATTTTTTTGTTTCTTTCTCATTCATTTCTTCTTAGTGTCAGCCTATAAACGCACAACACCTACAAAATATAAATTTCATATGCCCACCTCTTGTTACTTTTATACCAGATTTTTTACCTGTATATTTTATTATTGTTTTTTTTTTGTTTCTTTTTTTCTTATACGAATGTGTTTATTGTAGGTATTGAAGAAGAAAAAGGATATTGTTAGTATAGTGAGAGAGCAAGAGAGTTAAGAGGAAAAATGTAAAATAAAAAAATTATTGTAGGTGTTATTTAAGTACGTTTTCATTTAAAGTGAAAAAAAAAATATATTTTTAGAATATTAAGACAAGAAGAACAGAAAAAAAAACAAATATTGAAAAAGAAAAAGGATACAAAAATGAAAATTAATTTTACTTGTTCATTTGATGAGATTTGGGTTTAAAATATTTTTAGTATATTCGAAATTTTTAGTTTTAAATGGAAAAATTTATGAAAATTTTACTTTTACAAGCAAATCTCCTTATGGACACATTTAAATGTTAAATAGTAAAAGAGATTTAATAATTTGATCCTTTAAATTATTTTTTGTAAAAGCAAAAAATCAAGTTATTGGTTGAGTTTTTCTTTTATGGATAAAAAAATTTTGTACAAAATTAATTAGAAAATTTCCAAAGGGATTGATTTTTTCTTTTCATTTTAGTTCAACTTTTGAGTAGAGTTTGCCATTAAAGAACTATTTTGATGGCAAAAATATTTTTTCAAATATAATTCTTATATGTAGCATTGTCTATAGTAATCTTTAATAATTTACAAATAAATTTTTAATTTTAGTGTTAACTTTTTCTTTGTATGAACATTCTCAATTATTTGTTAGAAATAATTCAAAGGTAATATTATATACCAATATTGCACTCCCAAACTTGAGATTAAATTAAAGAAATACATAAGGTAGCTTTTGTTTCAAATTCCATTCAAGATTTTGTTTGTACACAGATTCAAGATTTCTGTTTGCACACATACTCTTTTGAAAAATCGGTTATATCTTAGAAAAACTTTTAACTGATAAGTAATTGAGCGTTTTCAGTATGAGAGAAAAAATTATCTGTGAGGCTTTTTTCGAATTATATGAAATATTTAGGTATTATAAATATTTATTTTTCGTTATTGCTTATTTACCCAAAGAACTAATAAAATTTTCTACTTAAATGACCTTAAACTTAGGAAAAAAGTTATGGCACATAAAATCTTTTGAACATGAAATTTTTCAACACGACACAATATTGTATTATAGATTGATATAGTTTCAGGCGAATTATGGGGGTTTTCGTTTATGTACATTAAAACTAAAATTAAAGTTCTACATTAAAACTAAAATTTCTAAACCGCAACGTTAAACAGTATGCAAAAATTTCAGCTAAGTTTTTTTAGTTTACGCAGTTTACAAATTCTGAAACTGCTAAATAATCAGTCGTTCAAAAATAAGAGAAATGACATTGTTTATGAAATAGTACCGCAATTTTTTTTGACCTCCAATTCACTGCAAAATATGGAAATTTTAACAAGATCTGAAGACTTTAAGAAAACTTACTTTAATAATCCTTTAATATTTGAATCTGCCATTTCGAAATTTAAAATTTTTTTGAATTTAAATTTGAAAAAAAAAGAAGTTTCAGTAGACAGCGACAAAATTTAAACTAGAAGTCTGCTATATTAAAGATTGAATTTTCGAACGCACTTTATTGCAGCCAGTAATTTCCGAACGATCTATATTTTTCGCGTGTGTAGCGTGAATTTTTGATCGTGCTACAAGTTAGAACTATTCTAGAACTGAATAAACGAAAACCCCCTATATATCAAACAAGCTAAAACACAATATTATGCAATTAAAATGTTGAGAATATTGTTCAAATGCAAATTTATTAATTTTTTATATTTAAACTAATAATTTTTAAATTTTAAAATTATAAAATAAATTTCCTACACTATAAATGAAATTATTCATATAAAATTTAAAAAGTTTCGAGCTCGTATTGTACGAACACTTCTTTACAACTTTAAAATACGAGTACAAGTATGCTACGGGGAATTAGGGTAATAATTACAATACTTAATAAATGCACGTCCAAAAATTTTTCATACAGTCTTTTTATATATTAAAAGATATCATCTTTTATTTATTTTAATATATAAGCGACGTAAAATGTATTGTAATTTATAGTGCATCTATTATCATTTTGATATTTCATAAAAATTAATTAATATTAATTATTTACAAATTAATTTACATTAAAATACGAAATTATAGATAACAAAATGCTTATTGAATTAATTTTCATTGCAATTGAAAGTGTTAACCTATATATAAAATTTAATTAAATCTAGTTATTACGACTGCAATTTCACATTCTGTTTTTTTTATGTTCTCTGCATGTGATATTTCCTGCATATCTTTATATAGGACTTTATCTTATAAGAAACTTTCCTTTCAACTCAAACAAGTGTAAATTTTTAAATTTTAAATTTTAAGTTGCTATGATGATAAGATGTTCATTTTTAGAAATTCCTGTAAATTTTTGTTTTTTTATTTGTTCAATTAATTAATTAAACCGCAAATATCGACTCTATTAATTATTTAATTGGGTTTGTAAAAGAATTAAGGTATAAAATTATAGTTTCCATCTTCCTTCAATTTCTCGTATTTTCACTTTACATTTTACATTTTTCATTTCAATTACTTTTCATAAAGAAAGAATTTAACTAAAAAACGTGTTATTTGCTTGCTATTCAAAATTAATCTCTTTTTAATCCTTTCTAGGCTCCTTTTATTTGAATTTTATATGAAAATGTAACAGTAATGGAAAAAAATCTATATTACATTATATAAAAAAACAAATTGGCTACAATTTGTCCAATTGTTTGTTATGTTAGCAATGTTTTTAAAAATTATTCACTCTATATGACTCCCAGACGGCGTATACATTATAGAATTAGAATTTATAACGTCTATACTTTACTGTTGTTCGTAATGGCATATTGATTTATATATATATTTTTTTTGTTTTATTATTTTTTATTATTTTATATATTTACTTTTTCAAATTTATATTTTTCTCACTATACAATACGAATTGTCTTCATTTGTTTACTTTGTTGTTTAAAATTCTGTTTTAATGTTTCGTGTATAATATTTAAATAATTTCTTTAATAAGAATAGATAAATTTCAATACACTTAACTTTGAAAATAAATAAAATATATATTAATAAAATTCTGATAGAATATATAAATAAAATTATAATCAAAACAATATTATTTGAGAAATTACAAAATTTCGACTTGGAAAAATAAAGTTTAAAATTAATTTTTTTTACGTGTATTAATCATAAAAATTTAGAAGAATTCAGGTGATTTGAATTTCTTGGTTTCAAAATATCAATCATAACTACAATAAATGGGAAATTTTTACTAATATTGTAATCATACAATTATTTTAAAATAATTTTTTAAAGAAGTAAAACAATAATTATTAAGTAATTGAAATTTACATCCTTTACACAATAAACTAACTCACGCATTCAGGCCCGGTTCTGACTTACTGGGCGCCCTACGCGATCTCCAAAAAGTGTTCATTTCCGCTTTCAAAACAATGAACAATATACAATAAATACTGCACATTGCGCATAACAAATACGCCCTCGTTCTCCGGCGCTCATTGCATATGCTTACTTTGCATATATGGAAGATCCGGTGCTGCACGCATTACAATATAAATCCACACGCATTGGATTCTATTTTGAAAAAATGGTGATAATTTAATTGCTATCGTGCAATAGGTTACTGACAATTTTCTTCTAAAGAAAGGTATGTGTAATAATTGCATACTTTTAGGTGAATGATTTTAATTCGAATCAATAGAAATATTATTGCAATGAATTTTTAAGTTATCTAAATAATAAACATAGAAAAAAATTATTGATTTAATAAAAATATATAATATTTTATAAAATTATAAATATTTAAGTTTAATATAGATTTTTTAATAATATATATTTGTATATACGTATAAAAATGTGTTTAAAAATAAATTTGCCATTGATAAATTACATAATATTTGCGTTAGTATGTACACATATAAATATTTTGAGAAATGATTCAATGATAAGCATTTTTATAAGTACCCCATATATATATGTATAATATATATATATATCTAAAAACAATAATAAAAAGTTCTTTTTTTTTGGCCTTGCAAGTCTCTTGATCATAAATTTTTTCTTCTTTTTTTCAATTTTCTTTCTTTTTTATTCTACAAATATTTGCAAATACCAAAATGCTTAATAGATACGATATGTACCTAAAATAATATTAAAGGTTACCCTTATATTTTTGTACACAAATGTGTATATATATGATTCTACCTTATAAAAAAAATATTATATATTAGAGCTTATATTGTGTGTGCTAATTTTTGTATATATATATGAAATTTTTTTTTGTATATTGCATTATTGATAGACAACAAATTGAATTAACATAATAATATATAATTTTAGATTAAAAATTTTGTATTATTTTTTCATTGAAATATTTTACACGCAAATTGTTTAGTTCCGTATTTATAAAACAAAAACCTTTTTCTATATAACCTATAATTTTCTAATTTTCTATTTTTTTTTATATTAATTATTATTAGAGGGTTTTTGTCTTTTCATTTCAATGTAAATTATTTTTTTAAGTATATAAAATATACAGGAACTTGCATACATGTAAATATGCATATGGGGGGGGGGGGGGGGAAAAAGGAACTTACAAAACTTAATAATTGATGAAAATATGCAATATGTATTAAAAAATATTGATTTAGTAAAATATATATATATAAATATGTAGCCCGCATTCAACACTAAAATTATACAAAAATTTTGAATAATTAATGTTTAAAATATTTATGGAGAAAATTTGTTCTTATTTATGAGTAGTACCCGTGTAGAATAATTTTAAGAATAAATATCAAAGATTTTTTTTTAGATAATATAATATAGGGGTGTGTATATGAAGAGTTTATTATTTATTCACTTGCGATTCCTTTCACAAATTGCTCTTAATTTTAAAAGTAAATATTTAAAAATTTTTATGATGAAAATGAACAAAAATGCTATTATGAAAAATAATGCTAGTTAATTATAACAACAACACTAATTACGAACCCAATCAGATAACCTCAATTTCCCAATAACCTTTTTTTAATTACTCACCAATTAAATTTCTAATATTAATTTTTAATTGGATATGTCATTTTTGAAAACAAAAAAATACTCATCTTTTTAATTGAATTTTCTCATTTTCTTTTTTGTAATTTGATTTAAAATATTGACTGAGCTAATCATCATCAAAAGTGTCACTTACTCACCTACTAATGATTTTTGAAGTCATAGTTTTTGAAATCATTGTTTCTTATACAAGTGACTAATCATTGAATACTTGTATACTATTGTATATTATTGTACTTTTATCTTATTATATTTATACTTATATATTATTGTATTGGGAAAAGCGGAATGAAAATTTAATACATAGTACAGAAAAAAAAATTCTTTTCATTTGAATCTTATATTATATACTAATAAGTAATTCTTTTCACCGGGAGAGAAGAAATAGTAATGAAAAATTAGGTTATTTTGAAAAACGTAAGAAAGGCATAATTGACTCCTCAGCAATGTAAATGTCAAAAAATCAAAAATCTACAATATGAATATTATATTTTTTAAAACTATTATTTTATTTCATAGGGCTTATATTGCATTTTTAAAAGGCTAGTTATCATAATACCGTACATAAGATCGAATATACATGTTGCACATAGCCTTTAATAATATAGGCAGTATATAGAGAAAACTGCGCTATATTTATATAAAAAAAATCAGCTAATCTAGTTTTCTCATAAACATTGCAAAATTATCAGCAATATTGTGAAATTTTTGTGAGTAGCATTTATGCAGTATTGCATTTCGATGTTATTGTTTTAGAATATTGTTTTTATGAAAATCTATAATATATACGATACATACAATTTTTTCTTACTCTTAATTAAATTAATTTAGATTTTATTTATTAAAATTGTTTTCATAAATTTTCATAAATCGTAATCACTAAATCACAAATACTGCTTTATCATAATAAATCTGGATTGGTAAAAATAATAACAAGATTTTAATTTCAGTCTGAATTATACTCATGATAAACTTCCTCTTAAATGCATTCTAGTTGAAATTTACGTCAAATTTAAAGTATATGAATATATAGAAAACACTAAGCGTCATATAATTTTTCAAAAACAATAATCAATTACTTGATTTATCACGAATCATTGTTTATTGATAATAACAAATCTACTAATTGTTAGAAAAGCTCACTTACGACTGAGAAGCTTCGAAAACATGTTTGTGACCTCTTACGACTTGAGGCGGCTGCTTTACTGAAATTTTTCATGGGCCTGGATTTAGTGCTAATGTAGGTGGCGATGGGTATCAAAAAAGATCTTATGGGTCGACGTTAAGAAGCCTTAAGGGCTTTGGTTGCCTACGATGAATTAAAAATAAATAGCGAAAAATTAATTTTTGAAATAGTTTACCTAAAATATCCCACTTTTTGAATAGTTTGAAATATATATTTTCAAAACAGACTGCAGATGGCGAAATATGAGTCTTTGTTTATAATGAAAGACATTTACAAATTATTTATTGTATTCGATATTTATAAATTTTGAAATTTAATTTACGATCATTTTATTTCATATTATGTTATTAATATAAATTTATGAATTATTTTTATGCACATACTTATTTATGTAATATAATATTAATTATTCTATTTTTTCAAATATTTATATTTTTAGTTAATAAATTATACGCCGCTGGCGGCGGATTATCATCAATATTAAAAGATTTATCAGAAGATATTGTGCCAGGTAATGAAATTTATAATCCATTTACACCGGTTGTATCACCCACAGAAGGACCTCCATCAAGAATTGATAAAATGTTTATACAAACATCATCCGGTTATAGACCAGTCGATTATTATAAACATCAAATAGATCCTGAAAGCAATAAGTAAGTTAAATTCAATACTCAAATATACAAGTAAATAATATGTGTGTGTGTCTATATAATATAAAAATGTGTATAATATTTTGATAATATTAAAAACTGAAAAACTCTATTTTTTTTTTCTATTTTATTATTGTTATTTATATATATATAGACATGAAATTAATACAAGTGTTAATTTATCGTGTGCCCTTCAAAGAATATGGATCATGGTTTCTAATATATGTCATGGTTTATTAGGTGGCCTAGCATTAGCACATCTTTTATTTATAATAACAAATCGACCATTAGATTGGGTTGATGGAGCTATTAAACATTATTCAGCATTTGCTGAAGTATATGCAAATACATTTTTTTGTTTGGCAATAATATGTATGGTATCTATATTCGATAGGTAAGTTTAATTAACACATAGATTTATTATACATATAAGATTAATTTATGGGTAATAATAAATTTATTTACACAAATATGAATCTATATTAGTAATACATAAATAGGTTATATGTAGATATTATATTATAAGGACACACATGTAATATATATAAAATTAATCTTAAGAAGTTAATCAAATATTTTTAGGTCTCGTTCAAATTATACCGGTGATATTTTAGAATTTTATTAAATTAATTCGACATTATAATGAAAATGGAATAAATTCATGAAAATTAGGTGCAAGTTAGGTGAAATATTGTCCTGGCTACAAAATTGCATAGCAGTAGTACGATAATAATACATATTGTACCTGCTTATGATTTGTTGTAGTTGCTGAATTGTGTATTTTACTACAATATTGCTACAATTATGAAGCCATCAATAGTTGAAGGGCTTTAGGTACAGCTAAATTATTGAATATCCACATTTAGTGCAAGCAAAAAGATTTGCGACTAATTAAAGAAAATTTATACAAGATATTTAATAAATATTCTATAGAAAATATTTACATTATTGGCAATACTGTAGCTTGATTTCACACTATATAATTTACAGAAAACTGGTTGTCGTAAAACATAACACTATACAGCAACATTATCACTTACTCTTAAATTTAAATTATAGTATTGCCATTGTGCTATAGAAATGAATTGTTAAATTGTGACGAGAATATACAAAATTATTTCAATTGCGATTTCAGCGTTTATCTTTTAATATCATTCTTTTATTATTTTGGCTAATATAATTTCAAATTGGAGCCTTCAAAATTATATTTAACATTTTAATTCTCGTTCATAATTAAAAAACCAAGAAGTTTCTAAATATTTTCCCGTATTTTGTATGTATAAGTAAAAATTTCTTTTACAATATTTGCCAATAAAGATTTCATATATAGAAATTTAATTTACAAAAATTATTTTTTAATATCCGTTTAAATATTTTCATAATTTTTTTTTTCAAAAAAATGACACAAAATATTTTAGTAGAATGCACATATTATAATCTCTACTTTTGTATATATACATATATATATATATACAAGAACAACATTATTATTATTCTGAAATATAAAAAAGAAAGAATCACTTTATTATTATTTCTTTTAATACTATATATATATATATATGTATATATATATGTAGGTACATAATATGTGCATACAATTATTCTTAGTCATTTTGCTGTTCAAAAGAGCAGAGGTTATAATTTTTACAAATGTACTAAACAGAATAAATATAATTTTCATTTTGTGATACATATAAAACATATTATGTATACGTATATAACAGAATGCATAATATATAAAAATACAATAAGTGAAAGATTTTTTTATGAATTTTTTTTTTATATTAAAAAAATACACTAGCTATTGTATACCAAAATGTCAAAATAACATAAAATATTAATATTAATAAGGAAAAGAACAAAAAAATTGCACGTAGGTTAGGTACAGAATAAGCAAAAACTGAAAAACTCAATTCATGAAGTGAAAGGTCACGCAAATATTTCATCTTTAAAATATTAAATTATTTCACAAATAAAAGATAATATGAAAACGAACAACATTTTTTATGTTATTTTTCATTATTTTACGTACATACACTAGAATTCAATATTAGATTCGAAATGAAGATGAAAATAATGTACATATCTAGGATCAGTGCAAGTTTTTGTAAGAAATATTTTGGATATTGTCATTCAAAGAAGCACCATCACAGTATTTTTAATTTTTGATATTAGAGGAATTGAGTATTGCTATATTATGTTTCAAAAATTAAAAATTTTATACTAAGACAATTTTTAATAAAAATTTTTACTTTTATTTATTGATATTGTATAGATTATCCTTTTTCAGTTTGATTAATGAATTTTCATAGAATATATTAGATTTCCATTTAAAATTCCAAAATATTCGACACAAAAGAATTGATAGCAAAAAAAATGTCAAATGTCAATAGCAGAGTACAGTTAAATGTCAATAGAAAAAATTTTAATATATGATTAATGTCAAGAATTTCGGAATTTATTTAAGAGGAAAAATTCAAAATTGCAGTAATATACGGTGTCAATGCCCATAATTTCAATTTATAGTAATTATTATTAATTTCAAATTATAGTAATTATAATTACAATTAATAAGTAGTAATTATTATATTTCGAAGTAAATATGAAGACGCGGAAAATAACAAACAACCACTGACTTTAAAATTGCAATATTATTAAAAAAAAATTAGCAATTTCAGTTCATAATTTGAATTTATTACTCATCTTATAAGAATTTCTACATAATTATCTTATTACTGTAATTTTTAAATCGTTTAAAGTTAAAATCGGCTCTATAAATAATAAAAATTAATAAATGCCCGAATTATAAAACATCAATAAATGCTCGAATTAGATCCGATTTTAACTTTCATTTAATATCCTTTTTCTGAGGGTTATAGTCTGAGATTTCTTACAGGTATAATATTACAAATAATAATAAAATTCGTTTTAACAAATTTACTTTTAGAAGATCAGATAATTTAAGACTTAATCTTTTAAATTAATTCACCAATTTTAGATTTAGTTCACTTAAGACTATATTTAAGCTGTATAGCTAGAATATTTTACATATATACTTATAATAAACTTATAGTAAAAGTTGGTTTTTTTTAAACCAAAAATTTTTACTTTTTAAAATAATTTTTTTTCTTTTCAATTATCTACATTGTATCTATTTTATTTCTTTTTTTTAATGCATTTTTCTTTTTTCTTATTTCTTTATATATAAATATATTTTTAGAATGGATTTATGTCATATAGATATAACGAATGCATCCGAATTAATATCATTCCGTTGGATAATTATTGCAATGATATATATTGCGACAATAATATTAACATTATGTGCTGAAACAATCGATGAAAAATTATACTTGACCAATTTCAATATAACAATATTTGAAGAAGAAATGGTAATTAAATTATATATATGTATATATATATATGCACATATATTAAATTTATTATATTATATATAGAATTAAATTAGGTTAAATTTCTACTCATATAAGATAAATATTTAAATATATATAATCTATATAATAGTTGTATGTTATAGCAATGACATATAACAATATAATTATAAAATACTAATACATATTAGTACAATATATCGCTATATTAAATATATGGTAATAGCGCTATGGCAGTACTACATAGTCATGTCTATTATAATGTCATAATATACAATATTGCTATATGCATATATTACTTTATTATGTATATAGCACGTAATGCTAACAATTATATATGTATATTTTTAAAATTCATATATAAAATATAATACTGCAATATTGATATTATTTTAAGTATATATATTAAATATATTTTATATTTTATTAATATAAATTTATTTATTTTTTTAGGAGAACAATCAAGTATTAAATGTTTGGAATAGTTTATCAATAGCTCGTAGTATTGGTGCAATATTTGGTTGGGTAATGATTGGTTTATCACCTGGTGAAGATTTACTCTATGAAAATCTCCTTGAAATGGAAAAATATCAATTGACAAATAATTAGATTATAGAAAAAACTAAAACATCAATATACATATATACATATATATATATAAATATAATAATTTAATTTACTTATTAAAATTATTAAGAAAACAATAAAAAAAATAAATGCACTAAAAGCATTATACATTATATAAAAATCATAAATTTTCAATTTCAAAAAAATTAACTATAAATATATAAATATATATATATAATGTAAATGATATACATATTTGTAAATATATATATACACATGAAATATTATTACCCTTTAAAGAAACACAAAATAAAATACTACTAGAGTTCAAGTGTACATATATAATTAAAATTTTTTATTATATAAAACAGTTTTGTTGCAATTATTAGAATAACTTTGTTTTTTTTTATATTTTTTTAAATTCAATGAATTCTAATTTTGATTAATATTCTAATTTCTGAATCAACTACAATAAACTCTTAATTATTATTTAAATTAAATAAGGATCTCATTTAAAATTGTTTATTTCCTATATATTTTGCCACAAAAATTTCAATATTTTGTTATTGATTGTTTTATAAATATTATTGTAAGTAATTCAATTAAATTAATATAATGGAATTGAAACTTAGTGGTCTTATATTTTATATTTAATTAAAAAAGCCTCATTCAAAGTATTCTTTAAATACAAATTTATTTATATTATAATTTTAGAAAATATTTATAAAAAAAATGAAACTGAAATTTCGCTTAAATTCTTTAAAAATTTTCAAGGCTTATATTGTAAATATAAGTGATTTTCGATAATTTAGATCTGCATTGAAATTTCTAAATTAAATTTTAAAAGTCTTTTTACACCCACTTATAAAAATCTGCAAAATTTGAATATTTTATTTTTACAGATTTCATATATGCTTCAGTAATTCTTTAATATTCAACATTTTTCTATATTATGCTCCTCGTCTTAAAAATTCCCTTAGAACTTTAAGTAAAACTATAATTTTCGATCATGCTATTTTTGCATATTTTGCATTTTGAATTTATCGAAAACTTGCTTTATATTAAGACCTAAGTTAGAATTGATTGGAAAATTCCCATATATCTATATACATTCTTTAATATAATTTCTAATATATTTTCAATTTGTTAATTGTTAAATTTTAAATAAATAAATCAGAAATTAAAATTAATATATTTTTAATTTAATAACCATAATTAGAATTTATTAAAACCGAATTGAAACTTGTTTGTATATAGATACATGTATCTATTATATTAAACTGTATTAATATAAATTTAAATAATTTATATAAAAAAAAATTCATTTCATGAAAATATACCAAACTATAAAAAGAATTTAAATTTACTAAATTAAAATATAATATTAATAAAAAACAAAATATAAAATAAATATATATACATACATATTATTAAAATCATAAAATGCAATACTATATATATATATATATATATATATAATATATTTTATATATATATATATAAAATATATACTGTGAAATTTTCCAAAGTATATAATTAACAAACTAAAATAAAATAAAAATTTTAATACTGTAAATTTCTTTATAATCAGAAAATAAAATATAAAAATATCAATGTAAATATTTAATAAAAAGACAGAAAACAACAAAAAAAAAATTATTATAAAAGGTGATATATACATAATGTAATCAAAATCAAGAAGAAAGAAATATTATATAAATACTTTCATACTATATATCATATATATAAATATTCATTATTTATATTATTATTTAAAAAATATTATATTTGTACTTTCTCATTTATGCAATAATTTTTTAGGAAATTTAAAAAAATACAATAACTTTTATTTATTTTTTATAACAGTTGTCAAAATCTGATGATATACGAGTACACTATAAATTCTTATAAATTCTGTCTTTCAAAAATAGAGTTTCAAATTCTTACATACTCATATACACTTATGTATAGGGTTCCTATACTAAAGCAGGTAGATCAAAAATTTTTAATTTTTTTAAAGAAATCACCCTTTTATTCGGAATCAAATATTTCTTTATATATTTGAGAAGAAAATCAGCTCTTCTCAAATAAAGTGCGAATGTAGGGCACGAAAAATAAATATTCGATTATTATAGTATAAAAGAGTTTTCTTTTAATATATTAAAAATTTTACATCAATAGAAATTTTCCAAAAAAAATTTCAACGAAAATTTCAATGAATATTTTTTTAAATAGGTAGGATCTGTAGTTACTTTTTTGTCTCGACCAACTTACCTATACTTGGTTAGCTGTCTAAAACTCCTTACGATTGTTTTTTCAAGCATAAAATGCTTTCATTCAAATATTTTTATTAGCAATTTCGTTTCCAACAATTCTTCGATTCTTTGTTTCAAACTCTTAATTGTGAAAGATGACGACAATATTTAAAACAATTTTTTACGTATATCAGCTGAAAAGTTTAATTGAGTTAATAATTTGTTGGAATATCAAATATAGTAAATTCGTTGATTTAAGTATTAAAGGTTTTGCAAAAAAGAAATTTTTTGGAATTGCAATAATATTAAAATGAAATTTAAATAATTCGTTGAATATGAAAATTTCATTTAATTAAAACACAGCTATAAATTAAATTAATTATATATAATATATATTATAATGAATATACATTATATGAATTGTGTAAATAAGATAAAATTTCTATGAATTTATAGTGCATTCTTAATATTATATACGATTCTTTTATTTTAATTTATTCCATTAAAATTATAATTCACTTTATTTAACTCCTATATATATATATATATATATATATATAAATGAATGAAGAAAATAATGCTTCTCATTGTCTAAAAATATAATATTACATATATATAATATTTTAAATAACAAAAATTTAAAATAAAAAAAAAACTTAAAAATATAATTAAGAAAAGAGAATTCTTTTTTTTTCCTAAATTATTAACATTTGTTTATTTTCTTTCTTTAAAATTTTACATCAGAATTAAAAAAAACTAATTAATTAGATATTTATATAATAAATAAATATGTATATATATTATATATAAAAAAATAAAAATTTTTAAATAGATTTTACATTGAAAAAAAAATATCTATTTATAATAATTATTATGAAAGTTATGAAAAAAATGGCAGCTTTTTATTATTAAATAAAATTTAATATTTTGATGTAAATTTTTAATAAAACATTCTATATTGTTAATATTAATTTTCATTCTAATCGCAATTAAATTTTATATTAAACAAAATTATTAACTATTTTATTAGTTGGTATACGTTTGTTATATTTATTTATAAAATTTAATTAAAGTTTTTTAAATTATTTTGTTGAAATTTTCCTCTCATATATAAATTATACTATAGAAATACAAAACTTGTATATAGGAAGATCCTAAATATTGTTAAAATGAATTGATCCTACAAACATTTTATTTTTAAATTATTGTTTCAATAATTAAATTTTGATAATTGTTTTTAATATAATGAAATAATATATTAATGCTTGTAACACCCATAATTACTATTAATGAATAATTAAAAACATAATTATTTAATAATTTTTGATAACAATTAATATTCATTTATTGTTATCATTTCATTTATTAATTTTATTATAAATAAAATTTGCAAAATTTTCTTCATAAATTTCAATATAATAATCCAATAAATTTTACTTTATTCTAAATTTTCTACAATTCTCCAAAAAGTGCCAAGAGGAATTACTTGAACATTATATATACATGATTATACTGGTTTCATCCAGAAATTATTTTAATAATTTGATATATATATATATATATATAGTTTTTATTACCCTCTCTTACCCTAATTAATTTTGGAAAAAGAAAATTTGTTTAAGAAACAGGTTATTAATTTGTATTCACCTAAACTCTCTAAGATTAAGCATCATTTGATGTAATTAAAAAAACTCAAACTTGAATTTTAATGTTGTAAATATTTGAGTATGTATATACTAAAAACTTTTGAATAATATCCCGTTATTTCAAGAAATGTATCCAAGGTCATATTACTCAACCAAGTTACCGCGTAGCTTCCGAATAGGTGTCGCCGAGTAAATTATCAACACATCTTATTTTATTTAAATTTTACGAATTCTTCAATAATAAAAGTTTTAAAATAAAATTGTGATATGTCCCACAACAGTACACATGCGTATGTATAGTAATGGTGTTACACTGAAAAATATGTAAATGTCTCTTTATTTATTTAAATTAAATTAAAATAATATTTTATTGTCAAATATGACGCATCAGAATCAATTGTTTTGCTAATAACAAATTGAATTATGAATTCTACTAATACAACATCATAGTTGCGAAATTAATAAGTAATGTGCTTATTATACTTAATAATTTAAATTTCCATTAAGTTAAAACAAATTGAAAGTAACATGATGTTTGTTACATTTTTAATTGTAAAATTTTTGTGTTGCGCTTCATTCTCATATTCAATATTTTAATTAGAAATTCTATAGTTTGAATAGCTAATTCTCTTCGTAATATGTATTTAGTTTCCTGAGGATTACATAAAAGTCTAAACTAGTCGGAACCAATATATTTAAATAATTTTTGTGAAATTTTAAGTAAATAAATAAATTATTACAATTAATCATAATAAAAATTGTTTAATAATAAATTAATTTTCTTCGCTTTGTATTTTCCTTTATTAAAAATTATTTATGAGTGTTTCAATCAAATATTCGTTCTGATATTAAGGACATATTAGAAACTCGCCATGTCAAATTTCTCATTAAGAATAAATTATTTAATATGAAATGATTTTGTGACATTAAGAATCGAGAGTTGAGAACGATTGCATTGAAACTAAAAAGGGTTGAGAACGATTGCTTTTAAAAGAATATAATATGTAAGAGCGATTTATTTTTTAGTATTAAATTTTAAGGTATAACATTGTACGTACAATATCTCAAGTCTTTATTATCAATTAATTTTTTTTATTCGAACTTCAATGTGTTCAAGTTATTAATATTTAATTATGACAATTGTATTTTAATACCAAATTAATTTTATATATATTTTTTAACAATATTGCAATAATTAATTGATTTAATATTTTTATATTTGATTTTGGAACAAAGTCAATATTTTTTTAAAAATAGTGACCTTCTTTATTAAATTCTTTTTTGTTAAATTTATAATGTTACTTTTTATTGTTATAAATTTATTAATTTATTAATTATTAATTCACTCATATATATTTATTTCAATTTCTCCTGTTATACAAGAAAAAAAATAAAGAAT